TCTTGTCTAATTATATTTTCTTTTATTAAAAAATTCATAATAATAAATAGATAAATTTAAATTTTATTATGTAGATTTTAGTGTTTTAAATATATTTTTTATATAAATAAATAAATACTTAAATATTGAAACTCTTTGCACATCTAATAATAGTATAGATAAAAGCTCTTTTTATATCAATTAATAAATATTTATTTATATAAATAAATAAATACTGAAACACTGAAACTCTTTGGCAGAGTTTCCGTCCTTATTGCGAAATACCCGTTCGTGAACTATGGCGATTGATTATTCGTTACAAAAAAATAAATAAATAAATCAAGCAATACTTAATTGCTATTGGTGTTCAAAGTTACCAAATATCTAAATTTGCAAAACAAATCAATGTCTAAGAGCTTGTTGAATAATAAAACACCATAAATTATGAGCTCAAGTTGTTATGAATATTGCAGAGTTCTATGTCATCTTATATTGAGTAGTCATTGTTAAAATCCTCAAAGTTTTTTTTTTTTTTTTTTTTTTTTTTTTTTTTTTTTTTAAATCCTCAATGATTATTTATTTATTTATTTATTTTAAATCCTTAAAGTTTATTTTTTATTTTTTTATTCACTTGACTTTTGTGAAGCAGCAAGAATTATCTATATTTCAGAACTAAAACAAAAGAATCATGCTATTTTCAGAGTCACAGACTCACAGTCATTCCAATAAGCATACCGAATGATTTGGTAGCCATTTAATGCATTAGGGAGGGACACCAAATGAGTCCTACATAAATGCCTCAAATGACTACCAGTTATTTGGTCTCTTATTTTGGTTGATTGTTTTTCACTACAACAATCATTTTCCGAAACTAAAGCATGAGAAATTATTATTTTTACAAAAACTATTTTATATGAATTAATAAATATTTTTTTATATAAATAAATAAATACTGAAATAAAGAAACACTTTAGACAATTTTATTAGGTAATATTTAATTAATAAATATTTTTTATTTTAATAATTGTTGTCTAATTAAATTTACTTTTATTAAAAAAACTTATAATAAATAGATAAATAGGTAATTTGTACTTAAATACTGAAACTCTTTGTACATCTAATAATAGTATTATATCAAATAATAAATATTTTTTTATATAAATAAATACTGAAACACTTTGGCAGAGTTTCTGTAGTTTACTCTGAAATTCTAAATTTCTAGAATTCTCAATTTCCGTACTCTTTCCTTTGTCCTCCATGCCTCTATTTATAGGTTTATTGGATTAATAGGATGATGACATGTGTCCTTTTCTTATAATTATATAATCATAACTGGGCCGGGTCGGTTATATTGTGATAATTATCCATAAAAAAATAACTATTCTTTTTATATTGAACTAAAAATTAGAGTTTTATATAGAATGTGATTAATTTTTAGAGTTTTATAGAAACTATTTTTACAAAAACTATTTTTATATTAATTAATAAATATTTTTTTATATAAATAAATAAATACTGAAATACTGAAACACTTTGCATGATTTTTTATTTTAATAATTCTTGTCTAGTTAAATTTACTTTTATTAAAAAAACTCATAGTAAATAGATAAATAGGTAATTTGTGTTAGAGTTTTATAGAAACTCTTTGAAAATCTCTTTTTATATCAATTAATAAATAATTTTTTATATTAACAATATTTGTCTAATTAGATTTTCTTTTATTAAAAAACTCATAATAAATAGATAAATAGGTAATTTTTGTTAGAATTTTACAGAAACTCTTTAAATATATCTTTGTCTAGTATGATGTAGTTCTACTGAAAATAAAATAGGCAATTTGTGATTGAGTTTTATAGAAATTATTTTATTTTCTTTAAATATATCCTTGTCTAATTAGATTTAATTTTACTAAGAAACTCATTACAAAAGCTAATTTCTGGTAGAGTTTTAGAAAAATTATTTTGTTTTATATATCAATTAATAAATATTTTTATATTCATAATTCTTGTCTAATTAGATTTTCTTTTATTAAAAAATTCATAATAATAAATAGATAAATAGGTTAATTTATGGACCATTTGGTTAAGCACAATTGATTATAGATTGAATTTTAATTTTATTAGATAATTTTGAGTTTTATAGAATTTATATCGTGGGATATAATAATTAATGAGAGCTCTTTATTGTGAATTAATCTCTTTTTATATTTTGTTAATTTGGAGTTTTATAGAATTTATATCCATTAATAAATAAATACTGAAACTCTTTGCACAAAGACCGAGAAAGTAGTATTACACTTGATTTTAGCCAAAAGACCAAGAAAGATTAGCCAAAAGGCCGACCCAAAAATATTTAGTACTACACTTGATCTTAGCCAAAAAGCTGAAAACGTGTGATTATTATTTCTTTAACTTTCATGTAATCCTTTTTATTTAAAACCAATGTGGGACTTTGTAATTTGAATTAAACTCTTTTTATATTTTGTTAATTTGAATTAATTTTAATTTTATTAAGTAATTTTGAGTATTATAGAATTTATATTAATTAATAAATAAATACTGAAACACTTTGCACATTTAATTCAGATAATATCTCTATCAACTGAATACCTAACACGGTCTGTTCGTGAAGGAGATATGCATAATTTTTTCATTTTTCAACGTTGTGCAGCTATATTTTTCTCGCCTATTTGGTTTCTCATAAACACTATAGTGCATAAAACAAAAAATTATGTATGGCTATGGGTTTGATCATATGCATATGGGCTTGGTCCCTGTTTGTTTGTATTTTGGCCGTGTCTTGTGATTTTGGTTTTGGCTTGGGTTTTGTACATCATTTGTTTTAATTTATTTTAATACAAATTTTACCTTCCATATTTTAAGGGTTCAATGGATTGAGTCATGTTAATGGGTCGGGTCTTATAAATAGCCCTTGTCAAGTTAAAAGTTACTCCATATTTTGTTGTGTATTTTACTGTGATTTGAGAATATAATTAAATATTCTCAAATGGTTATGGGTTGACCCAATTTAATTCTCAAATGGTTATGGGTTGACCCAACCAATATTTGACCATTCCAAATGGATTGAATATGGGTTACAACCCATTTTTAACTCACCCATATTTGATTCTGCTCAAACCCGATCCAATCCGCCCATTTACCACCCTAATTTGATGGTATATGAATGCATGTAGAGATTCAACATCTAACCCTAATTCTCAAGTGCTTGGATGCACACCAAGGCTATAAACATGCTCCATAAGTAAACCTTCTTACCACTTTTTCAACACTTTTAGACCACTCAATGCACTTGCTTCACATACCCCCTCATCCTGCATTAAATTTTAAAAATACTTGTATTGAAATTTATTAGGGAAAAAATAGGGACAATATGCATTTGATGCATGTTGTGTTGGGATGCATGCGATCCGTTTTACTACGGTTCAGACTAAATTGGAATCGAATCAATTTTTACAGTTTTTTAAAAATTAGAATCGAAACCGGAACAGTTATGGGTTTTAAAAGACAGCTCTTTGAGTTATAAAAATCCAATTTGAGTGAGACTACTGGGTCACTCAAGCCCTATAAGCAGGGCGGACCATCATGAGGAGGAGCCCCCAAAATTTTTTTTCAAAGGTCTTTAATAATGGGCCTTTCTATGTAATGAGTTCGAGAGAAATATCAGTGGGCCCGACAACCCAAAGGGCCCAACCTAAGTCCATAGAGTGTTTTAATGGCCTCCAACCCCAAGCTCGAAAAATATTTTAACTTGGGCCTTTAATCCTGTTGAAACAAACCCAAATCTGAATAGAAAGATTTGCATTCTACTGTGTTATTAATACATCACACATGTTTAAATTGTTCATGTATCAAGAGCTATATGCATAATATGCTAATGAAAATACTCTATAATTACTACGTAACTTATAAATTCTAGTACCTAAATGGATATTTATGTGGTGTATGTGAGTGTGTATTGCTTGCAGGAGTGACAACCGAATGAAATGGATGGGAAAAGATGATTACTTAAATTATAGATATGAATCCATTTTGGGATTTTGTAGACCCAATTTTTTTACTGCAATATATATATATAGTTGTAAAAATTTGCACGTATAAAAACCGAACAATCTTACAATTTACATTAAAAATAGAGTGAAAGAGTATTGTGATTATCAAAATGGTGCGATCAAACTTAGCATTATCTAGGTTGTCTACTTATCCCGACTTCTAATGTGTGTGAAAATCAAGTCGGTAATTCCGATAAGAATTCTCTCCCAATTTTTGTCTAATTTTTCATATCTTCTCTCAATTAATTTGTTGGGTACTTATACAAAATATTGGAACCAAATCACTTCATTTTCCTCCTTGATTTTACACGATTTAATTTTCTTTTGAATTTGACTTGGTCAGCATTTGATTTGTCAATTGAATAATTAATTTTGAATGATTAATTACTGTTGTGAACCCTAGGTGCCAAATTTTTTGTGGTGAAATTTTTTCCCTCCACAATACTCCTATATTAATTGCAAATAACTCCCTATATTATCAATTTATTTTGAATTTGGCTCCCTATACGTTTGGGTGTCAAGGCAGGGATAAAATTGTCACCATTTGAAAAAATAAAAAATCAAAACGTACAACATGATTCCAAAATTACCGAAAAATTATTCCAACCAATTTCTCCTAGCTTGTTAATGGCATGGTAAAAGTTGGGGCAACTTGCAACCGTTATGATAAGAGAAATTATCAACTAAAAACTTAGTATAAAAAGATTAAATGCAAAATTTTAATAGCATTAGCTATTAAGCCAAATATTAAAAGTAACATTACCAAATATTTCTTTGTTGAGAGACTCGAAATGTCCAAGCAACGGAACGGAGGTTACGAGTCATAGGATTCAGTCAGACGATGACCCATGGGACCCAGTTGAGACGTGTGAAGGTCTTATTAGTCATTCCTTTTCCCGCGTAAATTTTAGTCTTGTAACGACTTACAATAAAGTCGCGTTTCAAACAGGCAAATCACAATCTCTCTCTCTCACACACACGCACATACATATAATATTCTCCTACCGGAGTTTCCCACATTCTTTCAGAGAGGCGATCATGACCTTCGGCGACCGGAAGCACCGCCGGAGCGCTAGGGCGCCGCTCCTCCCCGAAAAGCACGACCATCACGAGCCCCTCGAGACCGGCTTCGATGGAGCGTCCTTCTCCGGCGCTGTCTTCAACCTCTCCACCACCGTCGTCGGCGCCGGAATCATGGCTCTCCCGGCGACGATCAAGCAGTTGGGGATGGTCCCGGGGCTGATCGCTATCGTCTTGGCGGCTATGTTGACTGAATCGTCGATCGACATGATACTCAGATTCACCAGAGCTTCCAAGACAACCTCCTACTCCGGTCTCGTAGGAGACGCCTTCGGCGGAGCCGGTCGGACGCTCTTGCAGGTCTGCATCGTCGTCAATAACGTCGGCACTCTCGTCGTCTACCTGATCATCATCGGTACGGACCATGAATTTCTCTCTCAAATTTCACGAATTTTTCTGCAGAAAATTTAGTAATTGTTTACTGATATGTGTACCGATTATTATGTTGTTGATTTAGATTTATTTTTTTATCTGAATTTCTGTTTTAGGGTTATAGAGTTCAATTTGGGCGTTTTCTAACATTCAGCTTTTGGGTCAGTTCAATTAATCTTTCAAAAAAAAAATTTCTAAAAAAATATTTAATTTGAATTTTTTTGGATATGATTTTTAAATGATATAATAACAGGTCGATTCTCCAGATTTTTTTTTCTCATACACCAATGTTTTGAAGGGCAATTTGGTCAATTGCAGTTTTTGAAAATTTCAAATGGAAAAAAAGTGAAGTTTGAATTTCAAATACACATTTCTTTTGGAGGTATATATATACACATATATATGAGATAATTGGTGACGGTTAGGCCTGGGATAGGAGGTTAGGACCAACTACCGGTGTACCCACTGGTCAGTTTGGGTGTTGATTGTATAGGACTTGGAGTAGTGTGGAATTCACTTGATTGCCCATTGATAGCCGTTTGATACTGATCAAGTGGTCTGAGATGAATCTGTGTTTGTTAAACAGGTGATGTTTTGTCAGGGACGTGGTCAGCTGGAGGTGGGGTTCATCATTCGGGTGTGTTGGAAGAATGGTTTGGTCAAAGTTGGTGGACCACACGCTCATCTTTATTGCTTCTCACGACGATTTTGGTTTTTGCTCCGCTTATATCATTCAAGCGAGTGGGTGAGTGTTCTCTAATTATTTTATTCCATTCCTTTTCCTTTTTTTTGTTTAAGCATCTTTGAAAAATGAAAAAAAGTGTCTCATCTATTTTTAAAATCTGACTGAGGTGTCGATCTTATTGATTATCGTGTAAGAGTTCTTGTTAGACACTGTTTATTGAAGTCGCCAAAAAACTTATTTGGGCATCGTAACGTTTCTCACACATTCGCTTGAATTCATATTTGCCTCGTCACATTAAGAAATGATGTCATGATTTAGTTTGATCAAATAGAAAGATCCAAGGTGTTTAGCTTAACAACCTTGGTACTTTTAGAGGAAAAAGTTCATGCTTCCTATATAATGACAAAGGAAGATGCATGCATGACATGTAAATTGCAGGAGACATGTAGAAATGTTAAGGAATTAACTTGCATGACCTATTCTGGTATGAATTAACCTCATAGGTAAGCAAGTCATCTAGAAAGGAAATTCAACAGTAAGGAAAGAGGAGTCCTTTTGGGAGACTTATGTTGTAAGAAACCAATCAAAACACAATTATTTATCCATTTACTTTTTTTTGATAGGTAAGTTCCTCATGCAACTACTTTACTCTTAGGGCACTTGAGCCCTCGACCTTCCAGTTGGAAAGACAAGGAGATACCACTTGAGTTAGAAACCCAGTGATAAAACACAATTAAGTCTTTGATGCCTAACTCACCATCCTTGTCTACATAGATGAATTGTCTATAAATAACCAATGGTGTTGCAAGGTTATGCAATCAATTCTTAACACTCTTTGCTTTCCTTCTCTTGCTTTAAGCATGAAAGTGCACCAGTACTTAGGTTTTCAGTTTTGAAGGAATTCAACTTGCATTCAAGGAAGTAAAGGATACTTGATAGTGGATTTCAGATTTAACCTACTATTTGGTGATGTGTTTAGGATACAAACGAATAGCCTTTCTACGATTACCTAGCAAGCTAACAGAAGATCAAACAACCACCAGAAGGATACTTCATTGTGGGCATTAGTCTTACTACCACTGCCTAATGGCCAAACTTCCTGCTGGGAGAAATCCCAATAGATTGTTGAAACCCGATGATGCTTTTGCTCTGTCAGGCCCAGAGGCCAGCTATTTGGACCAAATGGCTCTACTCTGGGGCGGGGGTGGGGGGATTGACGCTTGTCATTTACCAGACATGCAGCAACCACAAAGTGTATTGGTCTAACAGAGACCTGGCCAGCAAGAGTTGAATCAAATACAACATTTCACTTCATCAACAACTCGAACAGCCCATTATGGTTTCGGTGGAGTTATGTTGGGAAGCGTGAGTTAGGCAGAGATCCTACTCATCAGGCCATTTTGAAGATTAGGGTTAATTGAGTCAAGCCTCACTCTTGTTCAGGAGCCACTAATTGGATTTAATGAATTTCCACTTCTGTTCTTAGGGGAGAATTGCTCTATTAATTCAAGTTAGACTGCCTATGTGGGTTTCTTGGTACTGAATGTTGATTCTCTCAATATAATGGTAATGGGGGGACTCTAGATCCCTAAGATGAGAGACATTCCAATAACTTACTATCAGTGGATCTGCTTCCGAACATTTAATAGAATGATGAAGATAAGAGGTGATCAGGTTCAACCAAAAGCTGCTGCATCACAGCACTCAAAGCAGAAGAGGATGCAGCTAAAAAAATCTCCAAAAATATCATAAGGGTCTGAGGATGGGCCATCCTCATTCTTATAGAAATCAAACCAAGTTCATCTTGGCATTTATGACGTGGGTAGAATCAGGCTAAAGAGTTACGGACCAAAAAGTAATGCAGATTGACTGGAAGATAAAAAAGGGCAGCTAATTGGAACAATTACTCTCTTTTAAAGAGAAACACCAACTGGTCAGTCTTTCCATCTCAGAATCTGCATGTCTTTGCCTTGTCACAATGAAAAGGCCAGGAATCAGTCCGCATGTAACGGGTCATAGACTGTGTTAGACTTCACCTTTGGCTCATTTATCAAAAGCAAAGAAGGTCATGCTATTGATAAAGTGCCTGTGAAATAGAAGCTGGCCAAGGAGTCAGTATCTTCAGTCTGGACTAGTTTGCCTAACTGATCAGGAATGGCCTACAAAACTGCTGTAGCTTGAAACCTATCAACTGAGGGAAGTATGTCAACATATACAGCAACATCTGGATTAAGACAGGAGTTTGTCGAAAATTCTATTCAACGCTTCTTGTTCCAAACTATTTGAAGGTCCTTAAGGCGAACTCGGTTCTTAGGAAGGCCGGTGAATAGTTATTCTAAGGTTGTTTATGGCTTTAATCAAGATTGTCTAAAAGAATTTAAAACAAGAATGACACTAAAAAGAAACAGAGGCCGACCTAATTTTCTTATATCCTGCTCAAAGGAACAGGATCCCTCCCTACACCAGGCATGTATACCAGTTAACAGAAAGAAAAATCTCTTCTTTTGTCTTGTCAGAGTCCCCATACCTAAATTTGGAGTTTATCTCAAGTCGAGATAAAAAGTGTTCCCATGACCATGTTTAAAATTATAAAAGTATAATATGTCCATGGGGTCAAGTTTTATACTAACTTGATGGTTGATTTCAAAATGTGCATTATGACTAAGTATATTTTTGGGCATAGTTGTTGAGTGAAGATGAAAAATGGAGCAAGAAGTGGCCAAGTAGAAATGTAAAGTAAAAGCAATGAACCTAATAATAATAATAAATAATAATAAAAAAAAAAATGGAAAGTAATACAATGTTCTTAGATAATCCAAGGCTTAGTGATCACTTCATTGTTGTTTAGGGTACTGGACTATCAACCCTATCATGAGCCCTTCTCAGGTCTATACAGTTAAAAACATGGCAATGGCTTTGAGCTTATTCACAGCCTCTTGAGTTACCATTTCATACATATTTATATTTTGGGGGGTCATTTCTATTGAAGATTTAACGGAGGAATCGGTGGAGGAAAATCTTTCAGTAATTGATGTTCTTTCCTATTATTGAAGATTTAGTGTTACTAGAGGAATCAGTGGATCCTATTTTCTAATTCTTTCCATTCTCATAATTTCTTCTCCTATATAAAGGAGCCTCCACCACCATTGTATTTTGTATGAGTTGAGAGAGCATTATAAAAGTGATGTAGCCCTTTGGGCTCTTTGTGCCGTGAACGTAGGCCCTAGTGGCTGAACCACGTAATAAATGTGTTCTTCTTGTTTCATTTCTCTCTTAACTTCTATTTTTTTTTTACAACAATTGCAAACTACGGAAGGAAAAAGAAATGAACAAAGGAGTTTCACTTATAGAAGATGAAGATGGAAACAAGAAAGAAGATGAAGATGGAAACAAAGTAACATTGATGTCTACCTACCTGTTTGGAGTTGTCTTTAACATCAGAAAGAAGATGAAGATGGAAACAAAGTCAAGTAAGAGTGGTGTACGTTTGATGCATCTATCTACAAATTTGTTAAATGATTGCTAAAGAGATGGTTCATATCACTTCAAAGGTCAAAATTTGTTTTGGGTGGCTGTGCCGTACAGATCAGCATGATTCCTCAACTCCAAACAGGTGTCAAAGACATAACTAGTGGATAGACATCAATGTTGATTTTCCCCTTTAATGGTTGCATCTGTCTTGGACAAGTTAAATAGGGGAATGATAGTAGAGAATCAAATTTCATGCCTCTCAGGTTACACATGGTGGTGCATGCATGACACGCACTGAGAAGATGCGCTGTGAAGGAGACATTTTTGCCTTTTTTTTTTTTCCCCCGGTTGGTAAGACGTGCAAACCCACAATTGAACGTTATAGGGTCTTGTCCCCTCGACCTTGTACTTAGAAAGTAGAGAAAATACCACTAGAACGAAGCTCTTCCATGCAAGAAACCAAAACAAGACATAATTTAGTCTACAGCCCCACCCTGAGTCGACATTCGAATTTGGCAAGACAGATTTATTTTCTTATCTAGTTTACGCCTAGGAAGTGATTATCCTCTGCTGTATAGATGAGTCACCTATAAAGAACCGATGGTATTGTAGGGCAAGGTACATGATTTATGCAGTTATAAGCAGCTCTAAACACAATCTGCTTTCTCGCTGCCTCAAGTATCGGAGTGCCTTGAGCCACTAATGCATTGGTGGCAGGGTTCTCAATTTTGCAGTAATTTAAGTATTGAACTCGTATTCAAGGAAATGAATTTTGCATGATGATGGGGCTCATAATTGAACCTCTGTATCTCGTGAATCTATGAAGAATCTTTGAATTTATAAGGAAAGAAAAGGAGAATAAATCTGATGAATTTTATCATAAAAGTTTAAATACCCCCTTATTGCGGTCTATTTTATAAATCCCATAAATTTCAGTGCACGAGTAATAATGTTGTAGAAATCACTCTAAACAATATCATATCCTACCTGAATTTCACATTTAAAACCATGAAAGCTTCTTAAAACTAGAAAATACAACCGTGGACTAAAAAAGTTAATATTTTCCAAAGGAAAATAGTATCCCTTAAACAATTAAACCTGAAGTGAATATCTTGTCAAAACGGTAACCTTCTCAAACTTACATAAGCTCAATCTTTTTAAATTGTCATCCTCTCATATCAGCTCTCCTACATGAATGTTTTTGGGTCCAGTGATGATTGTGTATGGGTTTCTTCCCGTGCATAAATAATATTTGGAGTTACAAGAGCTTCTAAAACTTGTTAGCCAACATTTCTCATTTTTTAAGATTTAAAAATCATTCCCCCTGTCTCCGTTTCTTTTCAATTTTACCATTGTAAATGCACCATTTCATCAAGTTCCGTTTGCATTTGGTGCTACATTATGGAAAGAACAGGATTTCTTCTCATCTAATTGGGAAAAAAATTTGATCAACAATGATATGTTGATGGAAATAAGAATTGCCAAGGCTATATATGGTTGTGTTCATTGGGTTTACTTACTTAGTGTCTATTTGGCTGCTTTAAATGGTTGTTGAAGCAAACAAATAAACTTCAGCAATAAGTTCTTTCTAGATTCACTTGCTAAAAAGATCCTTACGGTTCAGTAAAGCAAGAGGTGTACACTTTTGTACTTAATGTACTACCAATTGAGAAGGCAATATCAGAGAGAGGCTTATACTGTTTGTTTCGACTCCAATTCTCTGAAAATATTTTTTTTCTGTCTCTATCTGTAATAACTCCACTCTAAGTGGTATATATGCACATGCCTTGGAAAAATAAGGCAGGCCATCAGTAGCTCCCATTCTCCCATATTCAGTCTATCATATTAAAGCCTTATATACACTACTATATGTACTATTGATATTTACCTACAGTCATATACATACACAATGCCACTTCTCACTTCAAGGACGTGGTCAGGACAGTTCCCTATCTCTTTGGAAAAATTCTCTTATGACTTATTTACCTTGCTTGCTTGAAGAATAATATTTCCATAAGTAATTCAATAAGGTCATTCTCTTTCATGTTCATAAAATTTGGTAATGATTTGTGAAACGAAGTACCTTTATATGCTTGGGGAGCTGCATTGATGTTCTATTCATTGTGCATGCACCCCTGAATGTTGCAATAAATGATGATTATTGTGAGTAATTTTTTGTCTTTCTGGTGTTAGATTCGTTGAGATATACATCAGCCTTGTCAATGGGTTTGGCTGTTGTATTTGTGGTGATCACAGCAGGAGTAGCTGTTATGAAGCTGATAAATGGAAGCATTGGAATGCCACGTTTGCTTCCTGAACTTGATGGTCAGGCATCTTTCTGGAAGCTTTTCACAACTGTTCCTATACTAGTCACTGCCTATATCTGCCACCACAACAGTAAGTTGTGAATTTCATATGTCTTGTTATGTTTCAATTCACAATAGCACAGAGATCTTACTGAACATAACCTCTTGAAGTTCAGCATCGATTAGAACTCTCATTAAATTCTTTATTATGTCTATACGTGGTTATCTTTCTGGCATGATTGGATTTTGTACTTGTTCACCTGGTCTGTGACATTCTGATTGAATCATTTATTATGATAAAATTAAAATATTAAGAATGCATTAGGAATAAATGTTTATGTTGACATGATTGGCTAGCATAATTAAAATCTGCCAATAAATGTTTATGTTATTGTTTAAACCTATTTTTGAGGGAATCTTTACAATATTGAGATGACAGCAGATTTCATAGTTTAGTATCACTAATTACTGAGCTATAATAATCTGTGCTCTTATAAAATGCAATTGCCATGATTTCTAAAGATTGCTTCGTTGAAGATATTCAAAGCTGGCATATTGTCCAATTGGTTTATGTAGATGTGTTTATGATTTCCAGTGTCTTTTTCTTTGTGACAAGTCAAGGTGTTACAAGCAGTTTGCTGATGCAAACATTTCTCATAGCCATTTGAAACAAAGTCCATCATGATCAAACTGCTCATCTACCTGACCTTAACTTTTGGCATTGTTTTACATAAAGTGGCTACTCTTAACTTGAACCCGCGTCCTCCGATTTGTCAGTCCAAACTTTTATCATTACACTAAACATGCCCCCTTCAACCACTTAATTTAAGCTGTGATGGAAAATCTTGATGCACAGTCCTTTCTCTTGCTTATTGTAAAAACAGTGGCTACCATATTTCGTTGGTGTTTCCTTGAAGATCGCTGAGATGTATCTAATTTTTATTTTGCTCTCGTAACTTATTCTTTTTTGTATGTTTGTTCCCATGAAATTTGCAGTTCACCCAATAGAGAATGAACTGAAAGATCCCACACATATGAAGTCAATAGTCCGGACATCAATCACACTGTGTTCATCTGTCTATGTTGCAACCAGCTTCTTTGGGTTTCTCCTCTTTGGGAATCAGACACTAGATGATGTACTGGCCAATTTTGATGGTGATCTTGGGATCCCATATAGTTCATTTCTTAATGATGTAGTGAGGCTGAGCTATGGCATTCACCTGATGCTTGTTTTCCCAATCGTATTCTTTTCTCTTCGTCTCAATGTGGATGGCCTTCTATTTCCGTATGCTATTCCAATTGCCTTGGACAACCGGAGATTCTACTTGGAAACAGCAGCTCTCATGGGCTTTGTTTTTTTGGGAGCCAATTTTGTGCCTAGCATTTGGGACGCTTTTCAGTTCACTGGTGCCACAGCTACTGTCTCTGTTGGATTCATTTTTCCAGCTGCCATTGCCCTTAGGTGAGTAACAATTATTTAAGTAATTTTTATTGTAAACAAAGGTCAAAACTATTGCCTCAGATTTATAATGGGTCAACTGAAATCCAGCTGTTGTGTGGTTCAGACTAACAATCTTTTGTTAAGTTTTCTATTTGACCTTAATTTTTAGGTGACCACAGTTAACAGATATATCCTCACTTGGATAATTTATAGATGAAACATATACATCCTCACTTAAATAGTTTTCAATGGTCACAATACCCAGAAAGTAAACTCAACTAGCAAAAATTCATCGGCCTATATGAATCATTTTCCATCATCTCCTCTATGCAAAACCATAACTTCAGTAAAATTACATGAGATTATAATTTTGGCTTTCTCATTCCCTCTCTCATTAACTCATCACTGGTTTAGAAGCCCCATGTTGGATGATATTATACCATTGGATATGAGGAATTTCCTAATAAATTTTTATTACCCATTTTCCATTGTTATCACGGTTATATGAGAAAATGCGAAATCTTATGATAAGTTTAGTTTCAAATCTTGTAAGCATAGCACTTGGAAAAAAATATTTCTTAACAAAAGGATTTGGCTTGTTTTAAATAATTTAAAATGAAAATTGTCATTATTTGCAGCTTGAGGTTCTGAACGTGTAATCAGGTTGCATTTGGCCCACGTAACCTCCTAATTGAGTTTTACAGCCTTGTTGTAAGCTTTTTGTTCCAATGACAAATAAGTACATGCTTCTGCTAGGTTGTAAGAGGATTTGTGCATGCAACCTCAAATAATTCATATAAAGCTTGGTTGAGTCGTTTTTCTTACGCTTACAAATCAATTGTACAAGAATTGGGGCGATTAAAGGGGTCAAGTGCTTGTAGTTGTGAAAGCTAAAGTTTTAATTTCTGAAAGAGAGAATCAAAAGATTAAGTTTTATGATTTATATCATTGGGTTTTTATTGACCTCACAAACCTCCTAGCTCGGAATTGCATCATGATATTCTCTCTTTTTCGGTGTCTCCTGATGTTAAATGTCATTTTTGTTTGCTGTCATGCAGGGACAACCATGCAATCGCAACAAAGAATGATAGGCGGGTATCATGGGTGATGATAGTTTTAGCTGTGTCGTCAAGCACTGTGGCCATTTCCAGTGACATTTACAGCATTTTCATTAGTGGCAAAGGAATTGAAAGTTGATCTAATAGGGAATTTGTCTGAGATGCAGTATTTAATTGACAGAGAAGCACACCGTTGCAGTTAAACCTTTTGGTTTCCTGTTGATCTTCTATGCTTCTCAGTTTTGTTAACTAGAGGGAATGTTGTGTGACATTCCGGGGATTTTCCACCCAAAGCAAAGAGAAACAAGCAACTTCAGGTATTCCCGGTTGGTCTGTCTTCTTTCTGGAGGGTTCATACAAAAATTTCAAAGTGAATGTATGTGTGTATATAGAGATTGATGATAGGAGTTTGAATTATTTCCTTGTGTGTGTGTGTGTGTTGTAAAATTATATTTATTTTTCATTTCATTTAAGTTGTTCATTAGGTAGAGCGAAATGTCAACAGATTCATGTAACAAACTCCAAATAGTTAGGAGATGGAGAAGATTTTGTTGGGTTGAGTTGAATTACACACATTGTACATTAAATTCTTTTTTCTTTTCTTTTCTTTTTTTTTCTTTTTTTTTGGTTTGTTAAGCTGTGAAATTATAACTTCTTCCCCACAAATGGCTGAAATTTGCCTTGGTGAGATAGAAGTACTAGTTGATCTATGCTTAAGCATTACTGAAAGGCTTGTTTGGATGTCCTTGGAATTTGAACCAATATGAGTGAATGGTCCATTCAAATCCAAGGAATCCTTAAACAGCCCATTAATGTTCTGATTAGTCTATCTGATCCTGTTTATGGTTCATTCAGGCCAATCCAACCATAGAAAACCTACATTTTGTGTGTGTGCGTGTGTCATTCAGCTTGTTTTTGAAATATTTGTGCTCTATAAACTCTGCTGCATGTTTGTAATGCTTCATTTACTTCCTACATCTGGTGTTTGGTAGAATGAAGACATTACTCAGATGTCACTGAAAGAATGTGAACTCCGTTTTCTCTTCTTCCAATGACATTGAATGATAACTTCATTTTACATAGGTTATAGAGAAGGTGTGGAAAGTAATACCCTCAAATCCAGCAGTGTTCAAGTGAAGCAAATCAAACCTTCTGAGCCAATTACATTTCAATCCTCAAAAAACAGAACCAAAATTTTAGTTACAAAACCAGGCGAAGTGTTGGTATGTGTGCCCAATGAAATTCAAATGGATTCTATATTCTGACAGGTCCTTGAATTTCTTCATTTATCCAAATGGTATGTACCATAGAATGTGTTGAAGTTTTGATGGGTCATTAGATCTCAAGTCTGATGGATTGATGGGGTTATACCTTAGTGTCGAGTTGGTAGAATGTTCAACTCACCACATAAGTGTTTATAGGCAGTTCTGTGCAATATAGCACCTGTACTGTACTGCAGAGGATTCGGACTTTATTTAGGGAGTCTGATTATAGAGCCACAAAATGAACTCTAAGGGTGTGTGTGGTTAAATGGAAGTAGCAAGAAAGGAAAAGAAAATGAAATTTTTCTAATTTTTTAGTAGTTTGGTTAGAAGGAAAGTGAAAATTTTAAAGAAATTAACTTTCCTCAAGTTGTTGATTTTCTTTCAAATGTTTCCTGCATAAAACACTAGAAGGTTTAAGTTTCTCATGAAAGTTGTGACTCTATATTTTAACTTTTTATTATATCCCTTATCAATTGGTGATTTGTATATGTAATTAACTCTTTATAGACTTCTAATATATTTGTATATGACAATAACTTAGAACACCAATTATGAAAAGAAATTTGTGGCGTAACTTTTCAAATATTTGTGTCACTATGTATTTTTGAAGTATGTATTTTTTAAATAAACCTCTAAAATTAACTGCTAAAACTTTTCTCACATATAAATAATTTAAAAATTAATATAAATAATTATATTATAATTCTTAATAATTTATTATTATTTATTTATTTTGTTTTTAAAAATGAATATAAATAATTGGGTAAGGGGAGTAACACAAATTTATTTTATTTTTAGTATTTAAAATCACAAGAGTAATTTTGGTAAGCACAATCATTTTCTTTTTTATTTGATGCTTTTTAAACTAATAAAATAATATTTTCTCATATCTTTCTTGTAAAATTTTCTTCCTAATCAAAGGTGTTTTTAAAGACTTAATTTTATTTTTTTTTACTTCACTTACACTTTTCATCATAAATTTTCGTCTAGGAAATGAACCTTATTTCTAAAATGCCCTTTTGGTTAATCCATTAGAAATCATTTCAATCTGAATGGTATACCACAATAAATGATTGTGTTAGTAGAGCCAATTTGGTTTACCCATTCTCACATTGACTAAAATAAAGCTACCGACAGTTGTTTGATCTTGACATTTTTGGCATGGTTTTTTCTAGTGTAGCATTTATCTGCAGAAGTTATTATATATAGATTAAATCATCTAATAAATTGTTTATTGACATTGATGGCATGGCTTTTTCAAGTGTAGCGCATGATCTTTTGAAGTTGTTACTAAGTCATTTAATCATTTCTTCATTTGACAAATGTTTATTTTTTATTTTTGTAAGTATTTGATATGGACTTTTCAATGCAATGTCAGCTGCGTCACATATAGAAATTATTCTCTAATAAATTAATATTAATATTATTATTATTTTCAAAACAAGAGAGGGTGTAAGGCTTGAATACGAACTCTCAAATACGGGGAACAACCTAATCACTCAAGCAACATGACATTTGCTAAAAATTTGTTCATTTGTTACACATGAAAATATTGAATGGAATCAAACACTTATTTGGAGAGGGCCTTAGAAAAATAATAGTACATAGTTGGGAGTTTGGAACCTTTGCTATACATTTTTTGTACCGTAGCATGTTATAGAGGTGTGTTACACATTAAATCGAGGTTTAACCTCAAAATAACAGTGTTAAGCTGCACATTAAATCGAGATCAACACAAGAACCCAAGGTTTTTAAATTGGAATAATTTTTTTTTTTTTAATTATTGAAGCAACAACATCTGCAGAACAATATGCTATGCATGAAAATGTAGGTGATGGTCTTCTTTACTTGATGCTAATTTGTGCTTCACGTTCTCAATAAATGTGAGCTAAAATGAATGGTCCTTGAGAGAGATTTGACCCAAAGCAAATGAAATATAACAATAAAAAATAATTTAAAAAAAAAAAAAAAAAAACAGAGAGAGAAGAAAAAAAAATTTGTTTCTATTAACGTCACTGAAGTATGACTAAATGTTGTAATGATCAGTGTTGATACGAAATACAAAAGAAAATGATGGGACTTAAAAAAGGGTTCAATTCTTATCATTTACAAAAAAAAAAACCAATTATATATATATATATATATAGATATAGATATAGATATATATGAACATGGCAATCAAAACAAAATAATTATAATTTTAAAATTGTCATAAATTTAATGAAAGTTCAATTGCTATTGATTTAGAAGTTTCAAAGAAACCAGCAAGGGAAGAGTTCAACGAAATGGTGCTAAAATTGTGGGTTGTTGGTCTGTTTTGTCGTTTGGTCAGGTCTTTTGCACTTGACCGCCCTCATTTGGGAACCGTTCCATGCGCGTGTATGTGTGTGTGTTTATATATATATATATCTAATTTATTACTGTATTTCTTTTATGGGAATTGTTCTAAAAGTTTTGTCACGGTGTTATTGCTATAAATGAATGGTTGTGACTAGTAATTGGATGGCGACTTAACTACTAGTTCTTGCTTCTTTGGTGAACGCTTTGTTTTTATTTATTTATTTATCAAAATATTTATTCTTTTACATTATTTTGAAGTTGGGATTCAGTGTACAATGCGTGTTGTATTGCGTTCGATTGATTCAAACTCTAACATATTTTAACAGTTACACGTGTATGAAACGATACAACACTGTAACACGTGTAGCAAAGGATCCCACTTTTTCGTTTTGACCCTTCGATGTTCATCTTTGAAAATGTATATAAGATATTATAAGACCGTATTTAATATTACAAGACTAATTCTTGGCTCAGGCAAGCTCCAATATGAAGAAAGAACTCGTACAATAAAAAAAAAAAAGACATAACAAAAGCTGTATGTATAAATTGATAACTGGTTAAATATGAATTTAATTCAAGTGTCAAGTCAGTTTTTTTACCTCTCACTGGATTATTTTAGTAAGAGAGTAAAAGGAGAGATTTTTTTCCGTCGTATAAAGCCTCCAATTTAAAAAATCTCAAATTTAGGACTTAGTAAAAAAAAAAAACACACACACACACACAAACAAGTTTAAAGAGTCAAGCACACTTATCGATGGAATCAAAGTCAAACACACTTTACTCTTTTCTTCTTTTCTCTTCTCTTATCTTCTCTTCTATTTTGTGAATGAACCTAAACGTTCGGATTCACATTAACAGCTCCAAAATTGGATTGTGTCCTTTATAAACATTAAGACCGAGTTTTGTTTAGTGTATTTTCAACATAAATATTTTTTTTATGTGTTTATCGTTTCATTTTAATAAAAATTTCGCATTTGTGAAACCTTATTGTTAAAGAGACTCGCATTTGAAAGTTCGCTGAGAATCTCTAAAAATTTTGAAAGTCTCATAGCGTATCCTACCTTGATGGTAAAGAAAACGTTTAATTAATATTTAATATGTTCTTAACAATAAAAAATAGTATGAAAGTTAGTACAATCTTAATTTATCTATCAATTTATTTAAGCAATTAATAGAAAATAAAGCTATTTAATTTTAAAATGAGCCTCCACATGTAATTTTTTTTTTTTTCAGTTTACAACGAATTTCATGACGAATTAGCAAAAAAGCAATGGATTGTTGAACAAAAGTCTCTCTTTTACATTATGGTTTCCCTTGAAAAGACCAAAGTTCTACACGAGTTAAACACGGACTTACGCAAGTGCCAAATAAATTGCACATTTGCATTCTATCTAATTAAAAAAAAAAAAAAAAATCATAGAAAACGAAACAACGAACCTTTGTAACAAATGATTAACAGTCAAAGTAAACTGCCCCATCAATCATGCAACCGTGTTTTGCACCTTCTTTAGAACTCTTCGAGACGGGAATGGATGCTCTTCAAGTCTTATGATTCAACGAATATAAAAATAATATATCATAACAAGATGTATGTATATATATATTTACACAAATAATGCCGAACACGTTTTTTATCCTTGAAGATGTTCGGAGAGAAAAAATTATCGGAGAAGATCCAAATCCCACATATAGAAAGTATTTTTTATAAATTTTAGCAACTTATCTGCATAGTTTGTGTGTTGTTCGATAAAATTAGAAGTTTTAGGAGCTAAATTTTAAGTGTTAAAATTATAGACCGACTATTTCTTCTTTAATGTTTATGCTCACAAATAAATAAAATATTTCTTACTTAAAAACGATTCAATTTTAAATTAAACCACCCAAAATGTGTTATTGGTTTAATTAGATGATTAATAATTTATTATCAAACACTAAGTAAAATTAAAATGATTCAATTTTCTAGTAATAAGTGATGTCTTTGTTACTTGAAATTTTATTTCATTTTAAGAGAGAAATTATTACATGGTCCCGGACCAATCACCATGCGACATATCAACAAATATGTTAGGTTGTGTAAGCTTTATTTAATTTTTTTGTTGATGTGTTGTATGATGATTGACCAGGACCAATTATTATGCGACACATCAACAAATATGTTAGGAATGTGTAAGTTTTTATTACGTTTTTATTGATGTGTCGCATGGTAATTGACCAAAATCAATGGTCCCAGAAACATATAATAATTTCTCAATTAAGTGGTGTTTAAATTCGATAAACACTTCATCTATTCAAAATTGAGTACTAAATTAAGTTATAAAATAGCACCTTAAAACTCATTAGCAAAAGCGTACTTCTTCACATTCCAAAGCAAAGGTGGATCCCTCTCTTTCTCAATCATACTAATATGTAATTTCGTACTTTCGATAAACTTAAAAACCCTTAATAAATTGAATCGGTGATACTAATTTCGTAATAATTTTTAAGTTAATTTCGTAATAATTTTTAAGTTAAGTAGTGCTTACCGTGATGTTTATATTGCGTTATTAAATAGTAGTACTTCCAGAAGAAAATGTGAACCTCACTTTCTCAATCATACTAATTTCCTACTTTTGATAAAAACTAAAAAAAAAAACTTTGTAAATTGAATCAATCAAAAGTCAAATTGTCCAACGAGAAAATGTTTAATAAAAAGAGAGAATAATTTGCACTTGTAATGGTCTCCAATATATATATATATATATATATATGCACTCATGACACATACTAAATGTACATACACAAATATGTAATGATTCAAAAAGGTGTGACTTGGATTCGGTTTTCAACCCGGATGGGCTAATTAAGCAGACATCTTACGAATGGTTTAATCAAATATTTGATGGACCATCCAGTTGTACAACAAGCATTAAATATGATTATAAATCAAGACGAATGCCCCTTAAATCAATCACACCTAACCCTCCATTGATTACAAAAAAAGAAAAGAAAAGAAAAAGGCCAATGTCAAACTGGTCCCACATACCTCCAAAACCCTAGTTTATTTTGTTGTGATGTAAGAAACTTGTACGAGACTCTCCATGTTTTTTTTAGAGCTGTCATCCATGAATCTCAACACAAATTACGCTTAGACTGACGGCTGTCCTATTCCTGGCACTCTTCTGTGAACTTGCTTACTACTCCAAAGTTAAATTACATAATTAGCCTTTGTTTTTTTGATTTTTTCTTTTCATTAGTAGTGATTTAGGGACAATTTTATCATTATGAAATTTAATTTATGTAAAATGAATAGTAAATCCCCTCACATATTGAATTCGACAATTATTAAATTTGATACTTAAATCATTACTACAACTCTCTTTTTAGTAGTAGTCTTGTGTGTGTGTGTGGTCTTCTTTTTTTTTTTTTTTATTTTGGGGGGGAACCAAACAGTGACCAATGACCACATATTGGGTCACGCGGTGAGACCACTCAAAGGTTGGTTCGCACTCAAAAATTAGTAAGTCAAATTTTTGAATGTAGTAGAAATTTACTGTATGAAGTTTCTGGCGCCCATTAAAAAAAAAGGTATAGGTACCACATAGTGGGTCCCACGGTGTGACAATACAACTTGTCTTATGATGGTGTAACATAGCCATCACCTCTTCATGCCTTAATAATAATAAAAAATTTGGTTTAAAATTTGGGTTTCAATGGTGGCTTCTGGTTTAGTTGTGGGTCTAGGGCTTTTATTTTCATCCTATCATTTTTGTTTTTATTATGTACAAATAAATCGATCACGTATTAAAAAAACCAAAAATTATGAAAATCACTTGTAGTTGCAAATATTACGGAGATAAAAGTTTAATTTTATTATTATTTTTTTTTTACAACTTGAAAATGCATAATCGCTCCTTAAGTTAAATATAATGGAAGCATTAAATATCTATTTGCAAAATTTAATCTTTTTTTGGAATGTCAAGTACGAGTAAAAAAACAATCATCTTAGTTAACTGGTATGTACATTAAAATTGAACTCTTATATGGCTGTAATGTGCTACACCACTCAATAATTAAAAATGCTTGAAAAGACATTGTTTTAAGGAACAGGTTAAATGCGCAGTCAATAGATGCTATGAATTTTAATCCAAGAATCTTTACAAAACTAAATATATTAATTTTTTTCAACAATTCAAGTTTAAAAAAGAAATTAAATAAAAACTAGAGTATGCCTGTGATTGAACTTGACCGATATATGAACTAGATAACTGTGATCCTTATGTAAACCTCTCAAAGAAATATATATATATATATACACACATAGAAAATCATTCTTGTATCAATTTATTGTAATGAATTGTCAAATTTATTTATTTTAATTGGTTCATTTATATAATAAATAAGAGAGTAAGACCTCCACTTACTTATATTGTGCATATAAAATACATCACAAACTTTTGGTGCAAATATCACTATTATATATATATATATATATATTCAAACCTCTAATCGAGGATTAAAAAGATTTATGTTTCAATGCAATGAATTGGATAAAATCATTTATGCATCGCACTAATCAAAGATGTATCTCATGAATTTTGAAGAATCAACTCTATCAATCAATCAATATATATATATATATATATATGAACACATTTAAAGCTAGATTGCTTAATATATGGGCAATAAATTAAAATAATTAAACTTTAATTATAGACATATATAACTGTCAAAAATATTATAAATAAATTTTAAAACATATTCTAACACCACATGAATTATCTTTTTTTACTCTTCTCTATCATTATCACTTAAGAATTAAATTTTAATTTTTACTAAACCATTATGTGCTAATTAATAATTCATTGCAATTTTTTTTTAAAATTTGTTCTAGTATTCTTTTTTAGAAAGACAGGATTGCGCCATAGTTTGCATAGATGATAAAAGAAAACAAGGATGACCAAAATTAACAGAGAATGGAATGAAGTAATTATTAATAATTTTTAAAACATTAAATCTTTTTTAAAAAATATGGTATATAATATAATAGAATGACGAAATAGAATTCATGCGACCGACTTTATTTTATTGTAAAACAAAAAAGGAACTGCACTCTCCTTTTTACCCAAGGTACTCTGATGTTAAAATAAAATGATATCCAACTTATAAATAAAAATTGCAAATATCAGGAGTATGTTTCTCTTTCACCTTGAGAATAAAAAATAAAAAATAAAAAAATTAGTGCAATTAGTTAAAAAGTAGGATAAAGTACAATCACTAATTTGACAAAAAGATACTCAGAGAAAATTTATCTATTTTTTGAACAAAGACACTTCCTGAAGGTTCAAAAATGGACAAAGACATTCATTTACATGAGAAATTGACCAAATTACTCTTTGACTGTTTAGGAGACTTTTTTAACTTTATAATTTAATAAATTGGACTAATCCACCTCATGAACAATTTATGCATTAAAAAAAAGTATAAAAAAAAAAAACTTTATATTGTTTATTTATTTATTATTATTTTTCTTACTTTATAAATGTTTAAACTTCTTAAAAATGTAGACGTTTAAAATGATTTTTTGATATAATACATATATTTCAAATAAATTATATGTTCTTGTTACTTCTTTTCTTTTTCTTTTTTATTTTTAAATTAAGATGCTCAATTCTTTTATCTAAAAAAATTAAACCAATCTATTTTCCTTAAAAATAAAAAATATGATAGCAGTATAACTTTATGCATCTTAAATTATATATCAAATATTATGCATTTTCTAACATAAAATGGAAAAAAATAATAATAAAACAAAGGGAAAAAATAAAAATAAAACAAAGGCATGCATAAAGTTATATTGATACCTATTTTCCTTTATAAGAAGTTGGGACATTTATAAAGTAAATAACAAAAAAAAAAAAAAAGAAAAAAGAAAAAGTGAACAATATAAAGTTTTTTTTTTTTGTATAAATTATTTATGAGGGTAGATTAGTCCAATTTATTAAATTGTAAAGTTAAAAAAGTCTTTAAAAAAAAAAGTGAACAATATGAAATTTTTTTGTTTTTTTAAATTTTTTTATGCATAAATTATTTAAGAGGGTAGATTGGTCCAATTTTTTAAAATTGTAAAAGTTAAAAAAGCCTCCTAAATGGTTAAAGGGTAATTTGGTCAATTTTTCATGTAAATAACTGTTTTTATTCATTTTTGAATCTTTAGGGGTATTTTTATTTAAAAAATAGATAAATTTCCTTTTGCCAAATCTAAAAAAATGTGACAATACTTTACCTTAAAAAGAAAGTGAATATATTTATTATCTCCCTTAAAATATTTATCTATGGTATATTTATTATCTCCCTTAAAATATTTATCTATGGTCTCATTTGAAAATTCAAAACACACACACACGTATATACATTTGACTCCATGACAGTATGACACCGACTGTGAGGGACCATATATATATATATATATATATATGTATATTTTATATATATATTACCTTTTAATCTCGTAACTTCAGATTTTGGTAAGTATAATGGTCAAATTATTTGTGTGTGAAAATAAGAGGGTACATTTTGAAAAGTTGGGGGTGACATTGACACAGAACGTGCTGTCCATTTATCTTTTAATTCGTTCTGTAATCAAAAATCAAAGACGTGTTGAGCTGTTACCAAAAACACACATATACATACATACAAATATATATATATATATATATATATATATATTATCTCGCAGCATCTCTCTCACTTCCTCCTCCTATTACAATTGTAATGACCCTTTTGCAAGCTGTAATAGGATGGAAGAACTTTTGGACTCATCTTCCAAGACATAGCTGATATACAACCCCCTCTCTCTCTCTTCTTTCTCTCTTATATAAACGAATGTCGCCATGAACTAGAGACGCCTAGTTTCCATTTCCCTCCCACGTGTCTATCTCTACATTTTGAACTCTCTCTCTCTTCTTCCTCACTCCATTTCTTTGCTTCTCTCTCTAAAAATGGGATCAAAATCATAGCTTCTCTTTCTGGGTTTACTACATTCAATCCATTTCAGCTCAACACGAGTACCGTGTAGCCTCTGAAGCTTGCTTCGTGAACTGGGTCTTCGAGATCACAACTCAAAAATGGCTCCGTCGTTCCATTGGTGGGCCAAGGAGAGCCACAGAGGGACGCCGGTGGTTGTCAAGATGGAAAACCCCAACAACTGGTCCATGGTCGAGCTCGAATCCCCCTCCGACGACGACGATTTCCTCCTCCACGACGGTCCGGCGTCGAATCGGCCTCCCCGAGACAAAGGCCGGAACAAGAACGCCAAACAGGTCACATGGGTCCTCCTCCTCAAAGCCCACAAAGCCGCGGGCTGCTTGGCCTCCATTGCCGCCGCAATGTTCGGCGTCGCCGCCGCAATCCGCCGCCGAGTCTCCGCCGGGAGGACCGACTCCGAACTCGACAGCAGAGGCAATAGGGTCCCCGAGAACTTGGCCGTGAGAGCTCGATTCTATTCCTGCATAAAGGTGTTTCTATGGCTGTCTGTGATCTTGCTAGGGTTTGAGATTGCTGCGTATTACAAGGGTTGGCATTTTGGCGCACATAATCTTCAATTACAGTATCTATATGCATTCACATCCCCATTCAGTGTAAAGGGTGTGTTTGATTTGCTGTATTCGAAGTGGGTTTTGATTCGGGTGGACTATCTCGCTCCTCCTCTGCAATTCCTCACCAATGCCTGTATTTTCCTCTTCCTTATTCAGAGTTTGGACAGATTAGTGCTGTGTTTGGGTTGCTTATGGATTCGAATCAAGAAAATCAAACCAATCCCCAAACAAGGCGCAGTAGATCTCGAGTCTGGTGATGATGGTTTCTCCCCCATGGTTCTTGTTCAGATCCCCATGTGCAATGAAAAAGAGGTAATTTTTGTTGAGCCCTTTTGTTTCTCACTTTGTTGGATATATATATTTCTGTATAGCATTTACTGTTAGAGCTTTTAGGTCTGAATTTGGAGTTTCTCTATCAGGTTTATCAACAATCTATTGCTGCTGTATGCAACTTAGATTGGCCAAAATCGAAATTGCTAATTCAGATTTTGGACGATTCGGACGACGTGCCAACACAGTTGTTGATCAAAGAGGAGGTTCATAAATGGCAGCAAGAGGGTGCCAACATTGTGTATAGGCATAGAGTAATTAGAGATGGGTACAAAGCTGGTAATCTCAAGTCCGCCATGAATTGCAGCTATGTAAAAGATTATGAGTTTGTAGCCATATTTGATGCCGATTTTCAACCTGCCCCGGATTTTCTGAAGAGAACAATTCCTCATTTTAAGGTATCCCATTTTACAAAATTTCAGCTGAACTACATTGCTATGATGATTCTTTGCTTAGATCATAGGAAAAATGTAGTTTGTGTGTGAATTGAGTAACTTGGCTATATATTTAGTTATTCAATATAATTCAAACTAGAATTGAACTACATTCTTTGCTTAGATCACAGGAAAATTGTAGTTTGTGTGTGAATTGAGTAACTTGCCTTTTAAATCTATGTTATTAAATATAATTCAGTAGAATTAGGCTAGTTAAAGTAACATTCAACTTGGCTTAATAGTTAATACATTGCAGGACAATGAGGAACTTGGGCTGGTTCAGGCAAGGTGGTCCTTTGTGAACAATGATGAGAACCTGCTAACAAGATTGCAGAATATTAATTTAGCTTTTCACTTTGAGGTGGAGCAGCAAGTGAATGGAATTTTCCTTGGTTTCTTTGGGTTCAATGGGACTGCGGGTGTGTGGAGGATAAAGGCATTGGAGGACTCTGGTGGGTGGTTGGAGAGGACCACGGTTGAGGACATGGACATTGCTGTCCGTGCTCATCTCCAGGGATGGAAATTCGTCTTTCTCAATGATGTGGAGGTATATTATTGGGATAATTTACTTCAGTGCGGGAATATTTCTTGTGGCAAATTGTTTTTGAATTAACAAGTAGTTTGTTCTTTTGCCCATTTTCAGTGCCAATGCGAATTACCGGAATCTTATGAAGCTTACAGGAAACAACAACACAGATGGCATTCGGGGCCTATGCAGTTGTTTCGTCTCTGTTTGCCTGACATTATCCGATCAAAGGTATTCAACTTGCCAAATATGTATAGCTTGTATTTGCAGTGCGTTCAACTATTTCTATTTTGACAAAAATGAGGTGGAGTGCCAATGCTGACATTTTTCTGCTTCTTTTGCGGCTTATGCAGATCAGCATTTTCAAGAAAGCCAATATGATTTTCCTCTTCTTCCTCCTAAGAAAACTGATATTGCCCTTTTACTCATTCACCCTTTTTTGCATAATTCTCCCAATGACAATGTTTGTCCCAGAAGCTCAGCTCCCAGCATGGGTTGTCTGTTACATTCCCGCCACCATGTCATTTCTCAATATACTCCCTGCACCAAAATCATTCCCCTTCATTGTTCCTTACCTTCTCTTCGAGAACACCATGTCCGTGACCAAGTTCAATGCCATGATCTCGGGCCTATTCCAACTTGGAAGTGCTTATGAGTGGGTTGTTACTAAGAAATCAGGGCGTTCCTCCGAGGGTGATCTTATGTCTCTGGTTGAGAAAGACATGAAGCGTCAAAGAAGTATGTCAGAACCCGATTTGGGGGAATTACAAGAAATTATGCAAAAGGAGAAGAGGGCTTCTAAGAAAAAGAAGAAGCACAACAGGATGTATACGAAAGAGTTAGCGTTGGCTTTCCTCCTCCTCACGGCTGCAGCTAGGAGTCTTCTGGCTGCACAGGGTATCCATTTCTATTTCTTGCTCTTTCAGGGGGTATCATTCTTGGTGGTGGGTCTTGATTTGATTGGCGAGCAGGTTGAATAAACAAAAAATGATACACTCGTCATATAAACGAAGGCAAATTCTGAGGAGAATATTGAATTTCAGTACCACCGAATAGAACAGTTTGGAAAGGCCAAGGGGTGCGGCTTGCTTGTCCTCTGCCCTCCAGACATCAGTCACAATTCGACCTGATAAGAGAAACGACGTTGGAACCCGATTACCCCATTACAGGGACTCAGAGAACCATTAGAAAATGGTGATGTTTATTACTATTTATAAGTGTTTTTTTTTTTTTTTTTTTTTTTTTTATCTTAATTGTTTTTATTATTTTTTGGATTCTCCTGTTTTTGAGTCCTATTCTTTTGTAAGAAAATTGCCCTTCAAACATCAACACAAGAAATTTAGTTACAGTTCAATCATCAATTTTTTTGAGCAGTTGAAATGACTGGAAATGGAAACTGATTCACCAAATTAGGTTTGATTTTTCTCATTCTGATGATAATATTCCTTGCCTTCTTCATGTGAAGCAACTTTTCTGTTTTACGTTGCTGCACTCCTGTGTCGATTTGAATTATATTTGCACTGATCACGACTCTTAACAGGTCCTTTTCTGCTAGACATCTTTTCATTGTCTTTGTGAAGAAACCGGATTGTTTGTCAATAGCAACTTTTCTGTTTTATGTTGCTGCACTCCGGATTGTTGGAATGGATAAGTTCATACAGTCATTGAGTTTGGTGTACGTTACGGGTTAATCGTGTGGGCATTCATATGGATTTTCCTGTTGAATGTTGTCTGTTATTAGCAATCTTTCATGAAAGTATTTGTATTCTATAGTTGTAATATAGAAGTTGGAGGCTACCCAGGTATTTTGTTAGACTTGGTAGTGATAAGATAGTAGTGAAAAGCGCTCATGTATGTGTTCTTGCTAATTGTGATAGGTTGCAGAGTGCTATGCATGATATTTGAACCTGTAAACAGCCTAAATAGGTATGCTTACATCTATTTGTTATATTGTATTGACGCTTGTATCATAAACATTTTTATCCAAATTGTGGTTGGGGACACAGGAGCAGCTTGACTCTTTATGAGGTATGGTATGTGGCATGACCTGTTGATAGCTACCTTCTTGAAGCCTATTTAAGTTTATTTTTGAATGCTTTGTACAAGTCTGTCTGAGTTTTATAAGGTAAAGTCATAACTAAATAACAATGTTTCTACTTTCATTCACTAATATTATTAGGTCCCTATGAGTTATGTGTATGTAGTAGTCAAACCTGTTCATAACTACCTTCCTAGTGTGCATTTAAGTGCAATCTATGAAACTTTGTACAAGTCTCAGTTTCACAAGGTATGGTCATAAATTATTGAGTAATGATGCGGAGTTCATCATAAATTATTGAGCAATGATGCGGAGTTCGAAAGTCAGACAACTTTATGTCAGTGTACAAGTCTCAATTTCACAAGGTAAAGCCATAAATTATTGAGTAATGATATGAAGTTCGAAAGTCAGATTAGGAATTGGTATTATGTTGATGTCAGTGTACAAGTCTCAATTTCACAAAGTAATGATACGGAGTTTGAAAGTCATATTTGTATGTCAGCAGATGTTGATATTATTTTCTTGATGTCAGTTCTCTCATTGATTTTGGACGGATTTATCTCAATACCACAATGACGAACCACATATCTAAGGAACTTTCGTGGCACCAAATACACACTTTAGAGGATTCATCTAGAATATCGTTTGTCCACTCAAAATATCCTTCAGAATATTATAACTCTGAAGGATTATCAAAGCATTACTCCTATTTATATAAAAGAGTCCGAAATTAGTATTTATCCTGAAACAATGTCAACCCTACTTACGTAAAAAGAGTCGGATTACTATCAATGCACATGGGAGCATGCTATGTTTTGTGTGTGAATTTTGAGAGAAACATAACTGCAGGTAAGGACATGCCTAACATGATGACATATACACAATATTTATGGGCTATGGTCCATCAATCAAGTGGGGGGTTTTTATATATAAATTGGATTGTTTTATCAAATTTTAATGTGTTGAAATTGATGGGCACATGACATTTGTCTGGAATAGACTTCCTTGAGCAGGGCTGGTGAAAACAACAGAATCTATCCATACACACATACATGTCAGCCACAAATAGATAAATTAGGTTTGCACTAGAGTCCAGCCTACCCCTCAATCCCTACTGTATTTCTTTTTGAAGGAATCTAATTTGAAACTTTAAAATACTATTCGATTGGAGTTAGGTCCAAAACTTGTCATTCAAAGTAACAACAATAACAATATCAATGTTTTTGTTTATTTAACTCTTTTTTTTTCTTCATATAGTAATAATTTGAGAATTATGTGGTTCTTTAGACCTTTATTATATTTATTATTATTATTATTATTGTATGGAAAAACACTTTTCTTTACTATCACACAATGATTACAAATCTTTACACAAACACCTATATAGATGCCTAGGCTTATTGTATTAATGCTTTTTAAAAATAAAATAAAATAAAAATCAGTCTTTTAATACCCAAACAGTGCATGTTAACTCGCCTACTCTTAAAATGCGTATCAAACATTAATATGCTAGCACATGACAATGTAACAATTAGAGTTTGAAGCCATAACTTAGTTTATAAGATTTTTTATATACTAAATAATTAGTATTATGCTTTACATTTCTATAAATGCTGTTAGGGAGACATTTTTGAAATTTCCTCTAAGTAAATTAATGCATACCAAGCCAACACCAATTCACCTTGTTGAGTGTCGGCTTATGGCTTAGTGCCTGAACCAAGGTTCGAAACTGGTATAGAGAGAGAGAGAGAAACAGAGTTTGTTGGTAAGAGGTATTTCAAAATACCTCCATTTTTGCTAAAAATTTTTTTCTAAAATTTTGCTTTCGTGTATATAAACCTATTTTAGAAAAAAAAAAATTATTTATTTTTTCATTTACATTTTATCTACCACTCACTTGAAAATTTTGTTTCTGATTTCCAATTTAATGGACAAATTTGAAAAATCTAAATGACATTTACATAGGAGAGTCCAAAGACTAAAGTAATGCTACAAGCCAAAATACAAAGAAATGTAATAGCGGATTTCATATTACCAAATATAACATCGTTTTTGAATCTTTCAAAACACAATCCAACAAGTCCAGACATTTGGTTATACTTTTATCAAAGATGGTCTTGTGAACATTGATCTTCTCTTGGGGTGAGGAAAATTGCAGACATTAATTCTACCTCAATGTGCCGACTAGTTTGGACCTTCCTTCAATCCAAAGACTGCCTCTGGGTTGCTTGGTTTAGATGGAAGTATACTCGAATTGTATCCTACTGGAATTATCAATCTGGGAACACAGATCATATGCTATGGAAGAAGATGCTAGAGGTCAGGGAATTCATGTTGCAGAATGTCAACTTTCAGATTGGAGATGGACATTCTACTTTTTTGTTTACTGATCCATGGGTTCAAGGATAAAGTTTGGTGACTAAATATGGACATAGAGTCCATAGAGACTTTGATCTGGCCAAGCAAGCAAAATTATCTTCCATTATTCAGAACGGTCAGTGGCAATTCCCACATCAGAACTCCAATACTTTACACCAGTTCAAGAACTTTGCTCTCTCTCTCTCTCTCACATTGAAGCAAGGTGATGACAAGTTTCAGTGGAGACATGGTGTCTTCTCTTTTGGAAATGTTTGGAATAGGTGGAGAAATCCACACCCACAGGTGCAGTGGTTTTTAGTTTGTTGGAGTGGATCGAGACCTAGAGCTTCTCTGGTCTGTTGTCTAGCAATGCAGAATAAGCTTTTAACCTTTGAAAATCTAAAGAAGAGGGGGCTGCCTTTAGTGTCTATCTGTCATAACTGCATGAACTCAGCCGATGATGTAAATCATCTTACTGTAAATTGTCCATTTGCTAAAGCAATTTGGCAATGGTTGTCGGATGTCCTAGGGTAGAATATGCCTCCAGTCAATTCGTTAATTCAATTGGTGGATTGGTTTGTCACCAAAGGAATTAAACATCAGGTCCAAAAACGTATTTTTGCAACTACTATTTGGTATGTATGGAATGAGAGGAATTTGCGATTGCATAAGGAGGTTCGAAGAACTGCTATAGAAATTGCTAGAGCTATTTGTGGAGAGGTCCTAATGTTGTCTGGGATGGAGATGGGAGAGTTATGCTCTCAGTCTCTAGCTAATTCATACTGATACCTGTTTGATTGTGTTTATTTTTTAGTTGTCAGTAGACAACTTGTTTCCAAGGGATGCCTTGTTGATGATTTGTAATTTTTGTTATATCTATAGAAATTTTCCATTTTACCCAGGGAAAAAAAAAAAAAAAAAATTGATCTTCTCTCACTTATTTGATTTAGGCTCCGTTTGTTTGAATGTAAAATAATTTTCAAAAAATATTTTTTATTTTCTGTTGTTTGGTTGTCGTAAACTATTTACAAAGAAAAAATATATTAAAACGTAACAAAAAAACTTACCCATAAACTTTTGACAATTTATTTTACTCGTCTGACTCGATGGACTTGATCTCAACCTCGACTTAAACGTTAACCAAACACCTAAAAAGTAAAAAAAAATAAATATATATGTTACTTCAAAAAGAAAAATCTATTCTGAGAAAAATATTTTACGTCAAAACTAAGGGAGCCATAGTGTTAAAATTTTAATATAATGGACAAATTTGATTATAAAATTCGATTTGTAATATAATGTACAAAGTTGAGTAAAAAATTCACTTGACTTTTATTTCCCTTACCTATCGGTTTGAATGACATTCAATTAGACCGTCAGAATTCCAATAATACAAAGTAAATTGATTATTATTATTATTATTTTTGACGGTAAGATTTTAATGTGTGAATGTCATGTTACCACATATAACATTATTAAATTAAAATTTTAAAATTAGGTTACACATCTTTTCATTTCCAAAATTTTTATCTCCAACATGAATCCTTTGACCCCCCAATATTTTCACATACAAATAATTAATATCAAAACAATCAAAATATTTACCCACTACTCCAAATTATGAAAAATATCAATTTGAATCATTCAAGGTTTTATTTTTGAAAGTTCACTTTTTTAACAAAAGCCCAAATTTTCAAAATATAAACCAAATATTAAGCATAATACTAATAATTTTATAATTAGTACTTTAATATAAAAAAATATCTCATAAAAAGAAAAATTCCATAAACCGTTATGGCTTCAAATTGTATGTAATTATTACATAGTTATATGCTAGTAGATTAATGTTTTTCATGCTTCGATGCTCCATTTCGATGTTGCAAAGCTTTGACTTTGTATCCAGGGGCATAGCGGCTTTGGCAGGAATTCTGAAGGTAAAATTTTGAAATCTCGCTTTC